TTCGTCCGAGTCACCAATCCTGATGGACTGAAGGTGTTAGCTCTATACGATGATGGACAAGATTGTGTTGTTACTACCAATGTCGTCTACAAAGATGTTTCAATAATGTGTAAATACAATCGTTTATATTATGTTTTTTTAAATGACAAAATTTCTATATATCTAGACAAATATATATATATATATATATATATATATATATATATATATATATATATATATATATATATATATATATATATATATATTCCATACAAATGAATTAAGATAGCAATTCATTCCTATAATTGAGTTGCTAGAGAATGAACACATTTGCCTAATTTATAAAAATAAAAAAAATTAAAAAAATAATAAACAATGATAAATAAAATCTCCAAAGTTGCAGCACCGCATGAGTACATTTACACATTAGCTATTAATTTGAGTAATTATTTGCTCAAATACAAACAATGATAACATCAAAACACATAAATTATCCAAATCATATCTTCAATTGCACTATATAATATTTGATGTTCTAATTTAAATAATTATATATCAATCAAAATATTTTTAATATATTATAACAAATCAATTCCGTGCATCGCACGGGCGAAAATACTAGTTAAGAATAATAAGTCTAATCATATCGAAACTACTCTGATGTATCATGTTGGGCCTCCCTCTTGGGCTTCATTGATCCAATTTATTTAGTCAACCTAGTATATCATCAATCATTATTGTATGGACCATGGTCCACACAAGTTGTGTAGACCATATTTTGTCTACTATAAAATAATGTACATTCAGTACAAAAATAATGTATATTGTATACAGGAGATATACATTATTTTTGTTCTGAGTTTACATTATATTGTATAATGTACATTCAGTACAAAAATAATGTACATTTAGTATATTAGAAATGTACTTTTTGTTATGGTCCACATAACATTGTGTGGACCATGGTCCATACAATAATTTGCCGTATATCATCAATCATTATTGCATTGACCATGGTACACACAATTGTGTGGACCATAAATAAAAAGTATATTTTTAATATACTAAAAAGGTACATTATTTATGTACGTAATGTACATTATTTGAAAGTACATTTTTAATATACTAAGGGTACATTATTTTATATAATGTACCTTCAGTACAAAAATAATGTACTTTTAATATATTAAAAGTGTTTTTGATATTCATGATCCACATAATAATTTACCGTATATCATCAATCAATGATATAATGTACTAGTTGACAATTAATATAAAACCTCAATTTGAAAAAGGGTCTATACTCTTACTCTATATAAGGTGAGGGTGAACCCTCAATAATTATTGTGTGGACCATGGTCCACACAAGTTGTAAGGACCATATTTTGTCTACTGTAAAATAATGTACACTCAGTATAAAAATAATGTATATTCAATACAAAAATAATGTACATTGTATTCAGGGGATGTACATTATTTTTGTTCTGAGTGTACATTATATTGTATAATATACATTTAGTACAAAAATAATGTACATTTAGCATATTAAAAATGTATTTTTTGTTATAGTCCACATAATATTGCGTGGACCATTAATTTGCCGTCAACCCTTGTCCACGATATTTGCCTTTCACATCAGAAATCCATTGGTCTTCTATCACATAAGTGTTCAACCAAAATTTCAACCTCCCTGTTAGGTAGGAGCTAATAGATTATACTAAACGTCCTAATTGTCAATTTTTACTTTCCTTACTTTACTCTGTAACCGATCATATTTCAACCAGAATAGGGGAAACATTTATTCTATTGTCTGTGTAAATATTTATATTTTTAAATGTATAATATAGAGCGTAATACATTAATATATATATATATATATATATATATATATATATATATATATATATATATATAAAACAAAAACAAAAACAAACCATTTTCTTTCTTTTCTCAATATTGTTGTTTTAATTGATCTAATAATTATATAATTATAATTGTATATTTTCTTTAATGATGCACAACATGACAAAATTTCACTTTTAAAATATGTTAATATGATATGACACTTTTTTTTATCAAGCAATGGCTCTGTTTGGCAAACCTAGTTGAAAGCTGAAAAGCAATAAGTTCGGAGATGAAAATTGAAGAGCTGTCAAGCTAGCTGTTATGATTGAAAGTGTTTAGTAACATTAGTTTTTTGATAAGCTGATAAATGTAAAAACACTAAAAAGGATATCTTCATAAAATTTAAATTAGTTTGTTTACATATTAAAATTTAATATTTTATCTTTAAAAAAATTAACATTTTAAAATAAAACTATTAGCATAATCATGATCTAGCATATCATAATGAAGTAGCAATATTGTTGCAAATATAATAATAATAATAATAATAATAATAATAATAATAATAATAATAATAACAATATTATTATTATTATTATTATTATTATTATTATTATTATTATTATTATTATTATTATTATTATTTGTGGTGAAAGTTGGAGATAAAGGAGAAGAGAAAAGGGTTTTAATTGGGAAGGGTAAATTATGTCATTTCTTTAATATAATAAGGATAAAGATGAAAAAAAAAATTAGGAAGTTATGAGCTTATTTTGAGAACATTATCAAATATTAGTAGCTTAAAATAAGGTATAAGCTCCTAAATAAACAACCGAGCCCAAGTAATCATCTTTTAAGTAATATTTTCTTTTTTGTATATTAAAATTGAAAGCACTGAATAATTAATACTTTTAAGTTAGAACCTTAATTGTAACACAAAAGCTAGATAAACATTGAAAATTTGATCTCAAGACTAACCCACCCATGACCCAACCCCCCCCCCCCCCCCCCCACATATGTTCTGACATTGTATATTTGTATCTGGTAACAAATTTTAGTCGAAATAGGAATTATTGTTTATTAAATTTAGTTGGTCCATTCAGTACTAAATAATTTAAAGTCGTACAAATATTAAAGAAAAAATAATTTAAAGGCGTACATATATATATATATATACCAAATCCGAAAACATGCAACACATTAATTTTATTTTATTTTTGAAATTCAATACCAGAAGGCATATTTTAGTAAATTTCCCTATTACTTTTATTACTATATCCATTTTAATAATGTTGAATTTATACAAGGAATTAAATTGTTGTGAACCTCTCAAATTACAAGTATTCGGTTGGTATGAGTGGTCATGTACTCTCAACCCTTACAGGGCGTTTGGTTGGAAGGGGGGAATTACGTGGGAAAAGAATTGCAATTTCATGGGAGATGAATTACTGGGAATAAAGTGAGAATTTAAATTTCAGTGTTTGGTTTACGGGAATAGAATTACTGGGAATTTTAATTCCAATGTTTGGTATACATGGCAATTGAAATGGAATAAGTAGTATAAAGTCCAAAGTGCCAATTATTGTTGTGGTATTAATTTTAGGTTAAATAAAAGGAGGGATAATTTTGTCTCATCACTAGCTTTTTTTCTTCCTAAAATCACAGAAATTAAAATACCAGGGGGACATGGGATTTTAATTCCATGAAAATGGGAGAATTGCAATTCCTTCCAACCAAACTAAGGAATTTTATGACCTTTGGAATTAAGTGGGAAGGAAATTCAAACTCCCTCCAACCAAACGCCCTGTTAAGAGAGGTCGGGAGTTGTAACTCCCTCTCATATAGAAAAATCAATTTGGACAGCACTTTGCCTCTCAATAAAATTTTTTAATTATTCCTCTTTCGTATTTTATAAGTCCTATCTATTACTATAACTTAGCTTGGTGAAATCAATTTTTCTTTAATATTAAAAATAATTTCTTATTTTTTTGAATTTGAATTTTTTAATATTTAATAGAACTGTTACTATAATATCTAAATATATACAAATTTTTTTTTTTCTAAAAATGGTAAATTAGACATTACAAAAATTTTATTGTACATATATAATTTGAGCAATGACTTGATATCTTGTATAGCACATATAAAATGATACAATTAGAATACAATAATAGATGTGACATTTTTTTTATGATTTCATGAATTGTATCAATATTTCATTAGTTTTTGCTGGTGATTTAGAGTTTTTTTTTTAAATAATTATAATTCTTTACAAGTTAGTATATGTTCTATACTTTCTCAACCTTTTTCAGCTCAAATAATAAATCAATCATTATTTCGTGGACAATGGTTCACAAAGCTGTGTGGACCACGGTCTAAAAACATATAAAGTACATTATTCTATATTATAAAATATTTTATTCTAATACATAATGTACATCATTCTAACTCATAAAATACAATAGTTTAACACATAAAGTACATTATTCTAACTCATAAAATACATTATCTTACCCTTGAAATTTCATTATTCTAACACATAAAGTACATTATTATAACACAAAAAGTATATTATTCTAATACATAAAATACATTTTTTTAAGAGTTAATACCTTTTTTAATCATAAATTTATAGGTGGCAGCCCACTTTTAGTCATTTTTTATTAGAACATCCACATTTGGTCATAGTATTATTGTGACATGACCATTTCTAGTCTCCGTCAACAATAAAATAGTAGGACCAAAAATTGATGTTCTAATAAAGTCACCTATAAATCTAAGACCGAAAATGAAATTAACTCCATTTTTTTAACAAAAAAATATTGTCGTTTTGAACCGTGGTCCACACAATAATTTGCCAGAATCAATCTCCTTCTACCGTGCGTGGTTCGACCTTTTTTCAGTTCAAAGAATCAATGTCCTATTAGCGTTGTTTGATTTGTGACCACCCATTTAGAACAGTACAGTAACAAATGTGCAATTACACTACATAGTAGTTAGGGAGTTTTTTGTTGTTATTACACTGAAAAGTATATAATCATAATTGATTACTTTTCTTTAGTGATAATCACAATTTGTATTAAAATAAACGGAAAAACACCTATGCCACCTCTATATATACAAGCATATTGCAGTCGTAAAAATCGCATACTTCATCATCATATCATATCTTAACCATGGAATATAGAAACCAAACAAGAAGTCCTCTGAAACTGAAAGTACTTATTTTTCCATGGTTAGCATACGGCCATGTAACCCCTTACTTTGAACTCGCCAAAAAGCTCTCCCAGAGAAACTTTAAGATCTACTTTCACTCAACCCCAGCCATCCTCGACAACATCAAACGAAACAATCCAGTTCTGGACGACAACATCGAACTCGTCGAACTCCGTTTGCCCTCCGGCGACGACCTCCCTCCTCACAACCACACCACAAAAGGGCTGCCCAAGCACCTCCTCCACTCTCTCTTTCAAGCCTTCCAGGCAGCTAGATCCACCTTCCCAGCCATATTAGATTACTGTTCTCCGGATTTAATAATCTTCGACGGGTTCCAACCCTGGCTCCCGGATGTCGCCTCGTCGCGTAACATTCCGGCCGTCAATTACCTCATCATAGGATCCTCGGCGTTCTCCTACTTCTACCACACCACTTATACCTACAAGGGCACCTCCCAGCCTTTCCCATTTCCGGCAATCTATTCTCGGGATCACGAGAGGAAGAGCCTCAGCGTGCCGTGGGAGTCTGGGTTCATATTCAAGGGGATTGAGAAATCTTCGGAGATTGTATTGGTCAACAGCTGCGAGGAGATTGATGGGAAGTATATTGGTTACCTCTCTCAGCTATCCAAGAAGAAGATGGTACCCATTGGACCGTTGATCCACATCGTCGAGGGAGACGATCCTAAGATCATGGAATGGCTAGAAAAGAAGGAGGAACTATCAACTCTGTATGTGTCTTTTGGGAGCGAGTATTACTTGAGCCCAGATGACATGGAGGAATTGGCATATGGTTTAGAGCTGAGTGGGGTTAATTTCATATGGGTGATTAGGTTCCCGGAGGGGGAAGAAAGGAGTATAAATGAGGCATTGCCAAAAGGATTTCTAGGGAGAGTGAAGGAGAGAGGGTTAATGGTAGAAAAATGGGCACCCCAAGCAAAGATTTTAAGGCACCAGAACGTTGGAGTGTTTTTGAGTCATTGCGGATGGAACTCGGTGTTAGAAAGCGTGCACTTTGAGGTACCAATCATAGCCTTGCCTATGCATCTTGACCAGCCTGCTCACGCAAGGATGGCTGTTGAGCTCGGGACTGCTTTGGAGATTCAAAGGGATGAAAATGGGAAGCTCAATAGAGAAGAGGTTGCCAAGGTTATCAAAAATGTTTTGGTGGAGGGAAACGTTAAAGAGTTGAGGGAAAAACTTAAACAAGTGAACAAGAAAATAAAAATGAAAGGTGAAAAACAAATTGATGACGCTGTGGAAGTTCTCACCAATCTCTGCATCCAGTATAAGCAGCAACGAAAATGATCATATCGTTTTGGTTGATCTGGGGTACGGTGTGAATTGTTGTATCTTTTTTTTTTTTTTTTTTTTTTTCTTTTAATGAAATTGAACTAGTCATTAAGCTCCTCAATCATTAAAATGCCTAGCTTGTTCTAGCAATATGCATTGAATAAAAGTTATATATTCTACGCACTTCATCATTAAGGGTGTGTTTGAAAACCTGAAAACTTTTCCGGTTTTCAGTATTTGGAAAATCAAGTCAACAGAAGTCATTTCCGGTTGACTTTGAAAAATATGCTTATTTTGGAGGAAAATAATTTTGCTTTTTTTATTTTGGGAAATCATTTTTCAACCTTTACACCAACATCACACCACCACCACCACCATACTATCGCAATCACTGTCGCCACACCACCACCAACACCATCAACACCATACCACCACCACCACCTCACTACCACCATCATCACCACCACCAGTACAAGACCCACTACCACCACCACCGCTGTTGCCACCATCACACTATCGCTGCCACCACCGCCATACCACCACAAGTTATTATAATAATAATAATAATAATAATAATAATAATTATTATTATTATTATTATTATAATTATTATTATTATTATTATTATTATTATTATTATTATTATTATTATATAACAAATAACATCACTATCACCACTACCACTACACCACAACCACATTAACACTACTATACAACAACCACCACCAGACCACCACTATTATACCACTTATTATTATTACTAGCCGGGACACAAGCATTGTGCGTTGTGCAATAGCTTTAATTGATGCCCAATAGAGATAAAAGTAAATTGTTGGGCAACCTTATCATTTTCTACCGTTGCGAATTGTCGAATGCTAAATAATGATGGAACGAAAAAATGTTGTAGAAAAACAATTAGAATTGGACTTTGCCATTGCTAGTTATTGGTTTAGATATTGACAATTATTATTTTTAAAGTTACAACAACAGGTAAAAGTCTAATTTAATTTACTTTTCAAGTTTAAATTAAACACGTCAACATTTAAATTAATTGATAATTCAAAAAGTTTAATTATTATAATATGTTATTAAAAGTATTTATTACATAAAAAATTACACTATTGCATAACATATAAAAGATTAAATAACAAAATTAAATAAAAAATGGAAAAATTCAAATAAAAGAAAAAAAAACATTTGATTTGCATAAATCAACAAATTCGTGTTATTTAAAAATAATATAAATATAAAACAATTTTGAGTTTGTTATCGAAGCAAAAAACACCCGCACAGCATGGGCATGTTACAACACACAATTTTTTTTCCATCCCAAAAAAGGCATCTTGTAGGGAGAAAAACATGGCAAAACATGGCAACACCCATGAGTTTTTCAATTTTTTTTCGATCAGCAAAAGGTCTCATCGGTAAGAAGCGGGATAGATGGAACCGGTCATGCGTTTCATTTATATACAACGTTAGTTTATTGGAATAACTTATGTGATATAATAATAATAATAATAATAATAATAATAATAATAATAATAATAATAATTATTATTATTATTATTATTATTATTAAAGTAAAAACAACTGGTAAAAGTATAATTTAATTAACTTTACAAGTTTAAATTAAACATGTCAACATTTAATGACATGCAAGAGGGGCTCATCACTAAGATGCGGAATAGATGTAAAACTCGATCGGGCGAGATTGTGCATGTAAGGTGGATATAACTCTAGGCGGATATAACTCTAACGGACAAAACCTCAAACAGCCGCCCAGGAGTTTTTCATTTTTTTTCCGATCAGCAATAGGTCTCATCACTGAGATGCGGGGTAGATATGTCCATCAATGCGAAGCGGGATAAATGGAACCGGTCATGCGTTTCATTTATATACGACGTTGGTTTTTTGGAATAACCAATGTTGTATCATTATTATTATTTTTAAAACTAACATCGTTTGATTTTTTTTTTTTTTAATAAAGAGATACGACTCTAGTTTTTTCAAAAAAGCGACGTATATAATTTTTAAAAAATTAAAAACAAAAAGATAAAAATTGACATCGTATCGGATATATGTCAACTTTTTTTAATGACATACGACGTCTATTTTCGAAAACCGATATCGTATCATTGACTTAGTACTTCAACAAGTCTAAGTTAAAAATGATAGACTTAAAATGTAACACCCCTAAATTTTAAAATATTTAAAGTCTATGAAATAAAGGCAAATCTATCATAATTCATCCAAACAAAGCGAAACTAACAACATAAGTATCGGGGTGCTATGCCACATCTAGGTTTGAGAACCTAGATGCACGGGATACACTAACTAAACAAGCCTAAACTATAATAATTATCCATGATACAACCCAAGGTTCACAGGCCATCTAACCAATACTAAACTATCAAAGCTAGGTCCTCGTGTCCATCTAGCGCACTCTGAAGCTACAGATCTGTACTTGAAAAACATATGGTGTAACAACCGTCAGCGAATAATGTTCGTAACCCACTTCAACGCGTTAAGTACAATATAGGTAGATATAAGAAAATCATTTTGATACTGGAATATATATATAACCTAGGCAACTCTAGCTTTAAACCAAGATCAAAACACAAGACATAACAATAGACTTGTCACTATAGAACGATCATAAAGACTAGCATGCATCCTAAGAACGCAATACAAGGCATAATAGACAGATAAGCTCATAAATAGCAAATAGAGACAACAATGGAATTCAAAGACAATCAATTAACAGGTAATCATCAAGGCACACAATCCATCTTCCAACCTTATACCAAGTTCCAACCTTGTGGCTCCCCTCCGTCCTTATATCAGTTCCAACCTATACCTCCAGGCCACCCTTATATCGCCTCCCTTATCCTCCGGGCAACTGCATGCCCCCATCGACCAACCACCTATCAATCACCTCATATCATGATAGCGCCGCAGTTCCATTCGCATGATCCGTACCTCTAGTACCAATGCCAAGGTGTCAGCGCATATAGCCCCGACATGGCACCGCAGCACTTATAACCTGACCCATGCTCAACGACAAGCTAGTCGAAGGTGGGTTTGTGCCTTCAGCACAGTAACCGCTAGGTCTGTACCTTTAGTACAATGACCGGGCACTCGTTGAGCCATCAGCCAACAATTCATTTCCATCAATCACAATCTCATCATCATTATCATTAGTCACACCGGTCATTGCGCAATGACCACGATACTCATCATCATCCAATCAATCAACACCAGGGTTGTAAAAATCCCGCCTAGGCACCGAGTAATCGGCGCTTAGGCGCTAGGCGCCCATAGGCCTTGGTGATTTCTGCCCTAGGCTCCCGCCTAGGAGACCGGCCGCCTAGGCGCCCGCCTAGCGCCTAACTCGTCCGATTACGCCGAGTTAACTCGTCAATTTCTGTCGAGTTAGTCGAGTTAACCCGACCGACTCGACCTTGCTAATTTTTTCCATTTATATGACATATACATATAATATGACATATATAAACTCGTAGACTAGTTTGATACTTTCATTCTTTGGATGATTGAAGTATTTGGGTATTTCATTTGAGTTTTTTTTTTTTAAATATTCTTTTGATGTTATGACTTACGAATTGTCATTATGTCATTTATTTGGATGTGTTATTTGATTAAATGTTGAAAATAGCCTCATTAAAATTGTCAAATTGTAAGTCTGCTACTGTTTTTTTCGCGACCGCCTAGCGCCGCCTAGATTCCGCCTAGGCGCCGACTAGGCCGCTTAGGCGCTAGGCGCTGCCCAGGCGCCCGACTAGCGCCCAGCGCCTACTGCAACCATGATCAACACATACACAATCAATAACAATCAAGACATAACAACAACGACACGCACTACACATAAATTCCTAGAACGGTATTCAAAACATCAAACGAGACTCATATACGACAAACGGGGTACAACGGGACACAACGGGACACGGGGAAACAACAAACGGGGAAAAATATCATGACCTACCATCAATTTCCAGCAGGTGGGCGGCAGGTGGAGGACCACCCGCCGACGGCGGCCTACAGTTCCAGCGGGTGCCCGGCTGGCAATCGCCTGCCCGCTGGAAAGGGGGCAACGGGGCAGCGGGTAGGTGGCGGGTGTTCATCCCCCCACCTACCACCACTGATACACAAGCAACTTTTCGGTCCCGGGATCTCTCGTGGAATCCAAAACCATGTCTAGACACATTCCAACAGACAACAACAATATCATGGATTCAATTAACGGAAATTAAACCAAGAATCATTCCAAATAAGTTCTAACACGATTCCTAAACATGTCAAGACTCAACAACAATCATATAACGGTCCGGGAGCATCCGGAACCTCAAGAACATCAAGAAATCTTTATGCAAAGTCCTAAAGATGAACCCTAGGCTAGACTCAACACCTGATCATGCATAATCCCACCCAAATATACCAAGAACATCATAACAACGAGATTCACGATATAAACCCTAGGGACAAGCTCTAGACATAATTAAAATACGAGATCACACATATAATCAATCACAATATCAAGATCATCAAGATTATCAAATAAACACAACATAAATCCTAAGCAAGGCTCTATCAAGACTCAATCACAGAATCACACATACGATTACCAAAGGAGCCAATGAAGGCAACGGCAAATGTTGCCTCTTCCGGACTGGAAGAAGGCAACGACAATCGTTGCCTTCTTGCAGTCCGGAAGAAGGCAACACCAATCGTTGCATGTGGATGCTTTTATTGATGCAGTAAAGTAAAGAATTAAAATGGCCGCCATAGCCCTAAGGTTGATGAATGGTTGATGCAATAAAGTAAAATAGCCGCCATAGCTCTTTTGAGGTTGATGAATGGTCAATTTGATTTGTTGTTGTTGTTGTTGTTGTGAGCTATAATGGTGTAAGCTAGCTGAGGAACAAAATGGCCGCCATAGCTCTCTCCCGTTATATAAAAATCCCTGTTTTTGTAGTGAGGGTATCTCGCCAGCCAGTTGATCAGAAAGGTATATGCATCCTTAGTTGAACTCTTGTCACCTGTGGTGTTATAGTTGGAGCCGGTGTTGGAATAGGAAAATCCGATTTCGGCCGGTGATTTCAGGAATAACATATTTTCCACTGTACATGCAATACGGTAAATCTTATCAATCTCTCATATAAAGTTATAGTTTGAAATATATTTTTATGCAGTTGTAGTAATGATCGTAACTGATATTGCATACCTTTGCTCCATGAGTAATCGTTTTCATATAACATTTTTCCATCGCTCTTAACTCTGAAAGGTCCAAGCTCATCCAGTGCTCCGGATCCAAGAGATGAGCATCCTGGCCCTGCATTTCTCAACAAATGACAAGACACAACTTTAATTTCTAACGGAACAAAGTACCAGGCCTGGCCCTGGGCAAGGACAGGTTGGGCCCTTGCCCAGGGCCCATCTTGAAGTGGGCCCACACACACACACATACACACACACACACACACACACACACACACACACACACACACACACACACACATATATATATATATATATATATATATATATATATATATATATATATATATATATATATATATATATATATATATATATATATAGATTGATTAACAAAAAAAAAATTTGCATTTCTTGTTCCTGAGATCGAGGAGTCGGAGTCAGACTCTCACCATTTTGGAGCCCAAGAGTCACTGAATCGCCCAACTAGCAGCCGCCCAAAGAAATTTTAGAAACAAGATTATCAGAACTAAATTAGCAAAAGAAAATTAGTAAACTAACTCAGTAATTAGTATTTTCTATTGTCGAATAACCGGAGAAAACAAGGTGTTCTGCAATGGATTTGTGTACTCTTGATAAATTTCCTTATCCATACTCCTGCTCGCCTTGCTTCTATTGTGGTGGAGAGTCTGTGGCAAGGACTACGGTATGTCAGTCGTCATCGATCATAATACGATAATTTCATAATTCTTATTGTCATAAAACAGAAAAGAGGCCGACAATTTTACTAGTTGGCATGTTTTTTATCATTTAAAGTTCTATATTTGTGATCATGTATTTGTTCGTTTTTATTCTTTTTATTTCAACTTTACTGTGTATATGTTGACGGTGCCAATGATGGGAATACATAAATTTGCCTAAATTGTCTGATATTTTGATGAGAAATGGGTATGATCTGAGGCCATGCCTATTGCGGTATTTCCTAATAAACTGTAATATACTCTAGTCGTAGTGACAATGTTGTTAGACTAAAATATCACATGCATAATCTTATATGTGATAATAGGATCGTACTAACCTCCAGCCATAGTTCTTCTTACGGTTGAGCGATCCGGACTGCTGCAGAGATGATAAGTGCTTTGTCTCTCACTTTACTCAGCTCTCTCTAGATGGTGTATGAGGTATGTAATGTGAGCAGTGAGAGGACTAGTGACCTTATATAACCACTGACCATCATTGTGGTTGATTGTCTTTAGGTCTCCTAAACCCTAACCAGACTCCTAATCATAATGGTAGTCTAGTTATTAGGTTATTAGTGTTGCACCACATATCAAATACTGAATATTATCATAACTTATCCTAATGTTATAATAATAGTAACGGATAAACGTTACATTCTCCCACTTGGTGCAAGCACTACCACTCAATAACAGAAAAACACCAACCATAATGATATGTTCTCATTAGCACGAGTAGTATCCATTATGATCAAATGCAAACTGCCATTGAGCACTTAATTAGGAAACAAAACCCAACGAAATAAACCCTATGTTTATTCCAAGTCCCTGAAGTACATTTTCTCATCAATATAAAGTAAATGAAGGTGTACACACTTAATTGAGAAAATGTCTGAATGCTAAAGAATTTTATTAAAACTGAATGTATATATACAAATTACAAATTGGGCGAAAGTCCCATTTTCTGAATCAGATCCTTGAACTTAAATGGTGGCATGCCTTTAGTCAAGGGATCTGCTAACATCAACTCAGTATGAATGTGTTCAATGAATACAACTTTATTTTTGACACGCTCCCTAATTGCTAAGAACTTGATGTCGATGTGCTTAGTTCGACTTCCACTTTTGTCGTTCTTAGCTAGGAAGACTGCAGCTGAGTTGTCACAGTAGACTTTCAATGGCTTAGATATAGAATCCATAATTCTAAGCCCAGAGATAAAATTCTTTAGCCAAACACCCTGTGAAGTAGCCTCGAAACAGGAAACGAACTCGGCTTCCATGGTAGAAGTAGCTATTAAGGACTGTTTAACACTTCTCCATGAGATAGCCCCACCGGCCATAATGAAGACGCACCCTGAAGTTGATTTTCGAGAATCAACACAGCCAGCAAAGTCCGCGTCTGAATAACCGACAAGATCTAAATTGTCCGTCTGCCTAAACCCAAGCTTGTAACCTTTGGTTCCTTTGAGATACCTTAGAACCTTCTTTACAGCTCTCCAATGGTCCAACCCCGGATTGTGTTGGTAACGCCCTAGCATTCCAACCGCAAAAGCAATATCCGGCCTCGTACAGACTTGGATATATCCAAGACATCCAACTGCTGCAGCATAAGGGATGTTCTCCATGGATTCCTTCTCCAAATCATTTTTCGGACATTGGTCCAAACTGAATCTATCCCCCTTAGATATGGGAGCAGCGTTCGGTGAACAATTTTGCATATGAAATCTCTCTAAAACTTTGTTTATATAGGTTTCTTGAGATAAACCCAGTATACCCCGGGACCTATCTCTCTGAATTTTAATGCCAATAACATAAGAGGCATCACCCATATCCTTCATATCAAAGTTTTTAGAAAGAAATTGTTTCACATCACGAAGCATCCCCTTATCATTGGTGGCAAGTAAGATGTCATCCACATATAAAACAAGAAAGCAAATTTTACTCCCACTCACCTTCTGGTATATACAGTTATCCGAGGGATTTTCAACAAAACCAAATGAAGAAATTACCCCATCGAACTTGATGTACCATTGACGGGAGGCTTGTTTTAAACCGTATATGGATTTCTTAAGCTTACATACTAAATGCTCACCACCCCTAGAAGAGAAACCTTCAGGTTGTTTCATATAAACCTCCTCTTCTAGATCACCATTTGGGAAAGCGGTTTTCACATCCATTTGTTGCAACTCAAGATTAAAATGTGCAACTAATGCCAGAATGACACGAAGTGAATCTTTCTTTGATACAGGAGAAAAAGTCTCCTTGTAATCGATTCCTTCTTTTTGAGTAAATCCCTTGGCAACAAGCCGGGCCTTGTATCTCTCAATGTTGCCTAATGAGTTTCTTTTAGTCTTAAAAACCCATTTACAGCCAATGGCCTTGGCCCCATTAGGCAACTCAACAAGATCCCAAACTCCATTGTCCTTCATGGAATTCATCTCATCTTTCATGGCTTCTAACCATAAGTCAGACTGTGCACAATTTGTGGCTTGAGAGAATGTTTCAGGATCATCTTCAGCCCCTATGTCAGATTCTTGTAGATACGAAACATAATAACTAGGAACTGCTGATCGCCTTACCCGAGTAGACCGTCTTAAGGTTGGACCCTCATCACCTTGTACAGGCTGCGGGGCAACTACCTCTTCAGGAACTGGTGGCAGTTCTTGAATCGGTTCAGTCTGCATCGGCTCAGAATCTTGCTGTATATCCTGAGTTGGTTCAACCATTGGCTCGAAATCTAATTCAGGCGGTTGCTGCAAGTCCTAAACTGGTTCTTCCAAAGGCTGATCCTCAACAGTTTGTGGAATCTCAACGGTAGGTGGTATATCTGCAGGCATAACTAAAGGAGCACTGCGGATAAGTACAACCCCACCAGATGACATAGAAGGTTGAGAGTCAATATGATCGAAGGAAGGAACTAAGTCCTTAAACCGATCACTCCCACTAATCAAGTCATCTTCAAGAAATTTAGCATTCCTTGATTCCACTATCCTAGTAGTATGAGATGGACAATAGAACCTATAACCCTTAGAAGATTGTGCATATCCAATAAAGAAAGCACTAATCGTCCTTGGATCAAGTTTCTTCTCGTGTGGGTTATATATCCTCACCTCAGACGGACATCCCCAAACACGCATATGTTGCAAACTCGGTTTCCAACCTTTGAATAACTCAAACGGTGTCTTAGGGACAGCCTTGGTTGGAACACGGTTTAATATATACGTTGCCGTCTTAAGCGCTTCATCCCACAACGACTTAGGAAGCTTAGAGTTGCTAAGCATACTCCGCACCATATCCAGAAGGGTCCGGTTTCTTCTTTCAGCTACACCATTTTGGTCCGGAGAACCAGGCATGGTGTATTGGGCAACAATCCCATGCTCTTGAAGAAACTTAGCAAAGGGACCAGGTGCTTGTCCATTCTCAGTATATCTACCATAGTATTCACCACCCCTATCAGACCTAACTATGTGTATTTTCCTGTTACATTGGTTTTCAACTTCAGCTTTAAATGATTTAAAGGCATCCAATGCTTCATGTTTATGATGAAGTAAATACACATAGGAAAATCTTGAGAAGTCATCAATAAAGGTGATGAAATATTTCTGACCAGGTATTGTCATATCAGGACAACATATGTCAGTATGAATAATTTCCAACAACGTTGAACTTCTATTGGCACCTTTCTTTGACTTGTTTGTCTGCTTACCCTTAATGCAGTCAACGCAAGTCTCAAAGTCAGTATAGTCTAGAGTAGAAAGTACTCCATCCTTTACCAACCTTTTAATACGCTCAAGGGAGATATGACCTAATCTCCGATGCCACAATATTGAGGAATTGTCGTTAATACTACACCGTTTGGTGCCGTTTTGAACATCTAAAGAATTGTAAACTGAATCATTCTTTAATTTAAGACGGAAAAGACCATTAGACAATGTACCAGTACCAACACAAGTAGAATAACGAAATAACTTGATATTATTGGTATTAAACTCAAAAGAATATCCGAAGGGTACAAGTCTAGATACTGAAACTAAGTTCCTAGAAAAACTAGGAACATAAAAAGTCTTTTCTAATGTCAATACAAAGCCATTGTCCAAAACTAAATTGCAAACTCCGACAGCTTCTACTGGTGACGCAATCTTGTTTCCAGAGAAGATGCTACACTCAGTTCCCTTTGGCTGTCTCAGTTTTGTCATATCCTGCAAAGAGTTTGCAATGTGGATTGTTGAACCAGAGTCAACCCACCAGGAATTAGTATTAACTTCTGACATGTTAGATTCGAAACAAACGAAAGAAGATGAAATGTTACCTTTTTGGGACATCCATTTCTGAAACTTGATACAATCTTTCTTCATGTGTCCCTTCTTTTTGCAAAAGAAACACTTTTGTATCTTCTTAATGTCTGCTTTCGGGGTTAGTTTCCCCTTAGCAGCTATGGTAAGTCCCTTAGGCTTTCCAGACATTCTTTTAGGCCTTGTTGTGGCCATTAAAGCACTTTCCCCAAGCTCAGTTACAAGTCGCGTTTCCTCTTGAGTACACATGGTAATCAATTGATTGATAGACCATTCATCCTTATGTGTATTATAGGCAATTTTAAACGCGCTATATTCCTGAGATAGGGTATTTAGTGCAAAGTGCACCACAAAGGCATCTGGAAGAATAATTTTCAACTTCTTCAATTGTGCCGCAATGTCCCTGAGTTCCATGATGTGTTTCCGCGTTCCCTTGACAGTGGAAAGACGCATATTGATAAACTTCATTATCAGGGTACTTGCCAGAGATTTATTCGCGTCAACAAATTGCTCATCGATGGCTTTGAGTAATGGCTCAATGTTCTCAATATCATCGACGGGACCACGAATCTCTCTGGCAATTTTAGACTTAATGAGGAATACGCCTAAGCGATTGGCTGTTGCCCATCGCTCGTATAGCGTTTTTTGTTCCTCAGTGCTTTCCGCAGTAAGCTCAGCAGGCTTCTTATTGCGAAGAGCATAATCAAACCCCAATATTCCTAAATTCAATAAAACAGCGTCTTTCCACTCTTTGTGATTGTCATAATTGAGGATAGGAATATCAATTGTTATTGATTGAGTGATTGGAAGAGTGACTGTAAAAGAAAAATTGAAAGCTTGGTTAGAATATTTTCGAGGCACAAAATTAGAGAGAGATACTGAAGTACACAATATTACCAATGTAAAATTATGCAAAAGATAAATTCGGATGCCATAAAAATTGCCTGTGGGCTAAATTTTTACGCATAATGAATTTACCAAAACTGAATGGTGGAAACGAAATGGGGGCGATTTTTAATTTTTCCACCCTTAATGACAAAACTACCAAAACTATATGCCGATACATAATCCCTGTGGGCAAATTATGATCATAGTATGGTATTTCATCCTAATTCACCCTACAAATATAACAAAATTGCCTGTGGGCTAAATTTTGCCATATCACGCAGAGTGAATTACAATATTCTTGCATTAGCTTTATGTGAGTAAAACTTAATATGTAATTTTGGAAAAATTAAAGATGCTGTGGCTACTCTTTAATTAACCAAAGAACATAATCACATTAGCAAGAAAACCTAATAATCAAACAGATTAAACCAAAATATGATAGACAATCCTTAGGTATACTCCCAGGAAAGTTGGTCGAGACGAAGCTCGGTTAAATACCAACTCCTTAGACAGAGTAGCGTCGCAAGGGGACTAGTAGCAACAAGGCTTTTAAGCCAGGGCCATAGAACTAGTATTCCTCCCCAAGAAACTTCCCTAATTCATGTGTTCTCATTTTTGAAGTAAAATCGTTTGAGAGATCTAAAGAGTAGTTTCACCTATGGATAAGGCTTTGAATAGGGTAAAACTACGAATTGTTTATGTACTTAATGTGCTTTAGGAACTTTATAAAACACGAGTGGAGTAATAACTGAAGGTTGAGTAATAATATGCATAATCTAACCTGAAAGGCACTAATTCACCTAAAAGGCACTAATTCAGGCATAGCATATAATTCAGACCTAAAAGGCTCTAAATTTTTCTTAATGAACATGCTTTTCTATAGGCATATAATTATAACAATCAAATAATTATTGCAATAAAGAGATAAATAGCATGCTCAGATTATGCATATTACTCACAAATACTCCACAATTAAATTGCAACACTTAATACAATTTAAACTGAAAAACATTATTAAATTAAAAATTCAACTGAAAAATTAAAACTGAATAATTATTCAAAGTTGAATAATAATTTAATAATAGACTTAATAAAAAAAAATTCAATTGGATAATTTAATTAGAAGAAGTCCAAATATGATGAAGATGTTAATCTGAATGAATTGATGTAGTCCAAATATCAATTCAGATTTGACCCAAAACCATAACAGGCCCAGATTAAAAAAAATATATATAATTTTCTTTTTTTTCTTAATGAGCCCAGGTCTAGCCCAAATTGGGCCAGACCTGGCCCATTAACATAACAACATCATCTTCTTCAATTTTCTACCGTAAGCAGCGCCAACAGAATGGATGTCGGCATGAGAAAAAATGGCGAAGCAGTAGGCCAAAATAATTATCCAATAATAATTTTTTTTTTAATTAATTCTTAATGCGAAAAATTATTTTCAGCAGTCCAGAAAATTTAATTGCATACTCAAGAATATTTACACATGTATCTCAATTATATAACAAAATATATAAATGTGCAAATATTTAAGCAATTAAAAAAAACTAGGCAGAGATTATTTATGGCGACTGATACCAACTGTTAGACTAAAATATCACATGCATAATCTTATATGTGATAATAGGATCGTACTAACCTCCAGCCATAGTTCTTCTTACGGTTGAGCGATCCGGACTGCTGCAGAGATGATAAGTGCTTTGTCTCTCACTTTACTCAGCTCTCTCTAGATGGTGTATGAGGTATGTAATGTGAGCAGTGAGAGGACTAGTGACCTTATATAACCACTGGCCATCATTGTGGTTGATTGTCTTTAGGTCTCCTAAACCCTAACCAGACTCCTAATCATAATGGTAGTCTAGTTATTAGGTTATTAGTGTTGCACCACATATCAAATACTGAATATTATCATAACTTATCCTAATGTTATAATAATAGTAACGGATAAACGTTACAAATGTAGGCATTGAAAAACGAGTGATTGCCTGATTGGAGATTTGGAGCAACAAAAGTAAAATGTGTAAAGATAATGTACAAGTGTATAACTTAGCCACTTAGGCCTACTAGTGTTAAGGATAGTGTTCATATTGCTAATTGATATTACTGATATAATTAGGTTTAATTGTTTAAAAGTGCTAGTGTGCTACAGTGAGAATATCTCTTCTTTTCAATTGTAGATTTAGCTGATTTGCAGTAATAACTATTAGATAAAACAATGTTGTTTTCATAACAGACTGAAGTACAAGCAGCTTGTTAACCTGTTTCTAAGATTGTTTGGAATATAAACATATCTCTTACATAAAAGTAGCAGTGTGCAAGTGTAAAAAATTACAATTCACTTCTGAATCATTCAAATGGGGTGCTTAGGATTCCCTATAAGCTATTGATAAATTTATCAAAATAGTATGATATTCTAATTAGTTTTATACTGTAAATTATTGATATTTTTTGAATTTATTTCAAATTATTTGATATTAGTATTTTTTATCGAGTTTAAAATTTCATATATATTTACGTTAACTTTTTATATGGTATAGGGCCTTTTTTTCTTACTGTGCCCCGGGCCTATAAAATGATAGGACCGGCCCTAGAACAAACCTTGAACCGAAGGAGTTTGGCGTTTGGTACCTCCGGTCAGCCACAAGACCAAAGGATTGGTAGAAGAATTGTGGGGTGATTTCCCGAAGTAATAAAACAGAGATCTTCCGGCCTTTCGGTTGACGGTTTCATAGCCCGCATACTGATTAAACTTCACCCCCGCATGCAGGTTGTCCCGGCAAGGGATCAATCTTGTCAGCCTCCATTGATCCTTCTAGAGCTTCAATATTTGCTGAAAATGAAGAAGAAAAGAAATGGTGCATGCAGCATCGTTTCAATCTCAGGCCACTCTTCTGAATGGTGTATCGATCCAAACATGATGAGGTTGTAGAGGTACTCAACCTATGGCTGCCTTCTTCCGGATTGGAAGAAGGCAGCCACTGTGGCGTAGGTGTTCTGTCGTGGTGGCTCTAATACCATGACGAGGAGAGAGCCGGGAACAGAGGAGAGAAAGGCATGTAGAGAGAAGATATTATTTCATTAATGAAGCTTGAAAAGAAAAGGAGAGAAAGCAATCAATTTATACATGGAAGAGGATAATATACTTTTTATAGAGTGAAGTTCCTCCCTGCATCCGTAGGTAGTTCACAGGTAACTTCTTGATCAACCTCCCAATCAGAGTTTGCCGACTACTAAATAAGAGTTCGCTGACTAATAAATAAGAGTTTGCTGACTAATACCAGCCAACCAGTGACGGTCAAGTCTTGGCTTCTAACATTCCGCTAGAGTAGAAGAACCAAAGAAAGCCATTCTCGGTGTAGCAGTTCCTCCCTGCATCCGTAGGTAGTTCACAAGTAACTTCTTGATCAACCTCCCAATCAGAGTTTGCTGACTGTAAGACTTTGGCCGTATAATATAATATATATATTATGGGTCTTACTTATGTGGTGCAAGTGGACTAGGCCCATTAAGTAATTGGTTGGACTGGACATTTAGGTTTAAATCTGTATTCCACCAATGTGCCTATATAAAGCATGTATTGATATGATACAAGATACATTATTCATTATTATGGTACTCATGCTGCTCAGAAAATACGAGTACACCATCTAGGGTTCTGAGTCAAGTATGAGACAAAACGGCTAACACCCTGCAGGTCAACCATTCAAGAGGCAAAACAACAGGATATCAACTATGTCTGGAGATCTACAGTGCTTCCACTTCCGCTACTAAGAGTTAAGTTTCTCGTAGATTATTCTATATACAGTTAGATCATATTTAGATCTCACATTTGGTATCAGAGCCTTTACTAATCTCTGCCTGGATGATTGTTTTGCCTAAAAACAATATAAATTTATTTCATATACATTAAGTTTTTTGTATATGAATATTTGGATTACTGAAAATTATTATTTTTAGCATAAATCATTATTTTTAATTTCATTTTTTTTCTTTTCTCTGCCGGCGACGAAGATTTTTTTTTTTTTTTTAAAGCTTCAGTTTTCTGGTCGCTATCGACGATGCAGCTAGTGTTGGGCTCCGATCGATTAGCGTTGTTTTTCCCTCTCGCCGCTGGTTTCCATGAGCAACAACAGCGAGCTTTATGTGGGCGACGGTGGGCGTTGGTTATTGGCGTCACGATTTGGGATCGCCGGCGGCAGGCGTTTTTTGGCATTGCAGCGAGGCACAGTGGTGGCGCCTGGTTCATGGCTGACGACTCTGACGAAGGGTGATGTTGATGAATTCTCTGCTGAGAACTTTGCTGCGAGGAGGACATTGCCAAGGACATTTTTCCCTCTCCGGTCGTGCTGGCTTTCTGGTTTCTGGTGACGCTGGTGAATCGACGGCGGGGAGTTGAGGCGTTGCGGCATAAGACAACGGCAAACGCTGGCGGGCGTTGCGACGAGGTTGAGTTTTTCCGACGATGTCCTGCTTCTCTCTCTTCCTTCAGGTGATGGTGTAACACCCCGAAAATTTTTAACTTTTAAGACTTATATAATAAAGGTAAATTCTCATTAAATCCCAAAACATAATATAAAGAGTACGGGGTGCTATGCCACACCTGAGCTAGAGAACTCAGGTGCACAGGCTAACTAACTAATATCCTCAATAATGTAAATGCATAAGCATGACACGCAGACCGAAAGGGAAACTATCTACTTCTACGCTCCAAGACTCTAGCGCGCTCCAATGTCTACTCCTCTGTGCCTGAAAGCCAAATATATCTGTTCAGCGAGAGATGCTGGTAACCTACTCCAACGCGTTGAAATACAATACATATAGGCATATATATAGATATAAGAAAAACCATTTCGAAGCATGAAGATATATCCTAAGAGACTCTAGCTTTTAAAACACGGAATAGACTCGACAGACAGGGATAAGCACAGTCAACAGTCATATAATTCACAAGCATATGGAACAGACTCGACAGATAAAGATAAGCACAGCCAATAGTCATAACCAAACATATACGGTTTACTAGCATGTATCCTATGGTCACACTTTCATAACATTCGTAACATCAAACCATCCATATCTCATCACATAGCACACTTTGATAGCGCCACAAGACCAATCGCATGCCCATACATGAGGGTCAGCGCATATAGCTCTGACACGGCCCCGCAGCACCCTGCCCCGTATCGCAACACGGAGGGGTCGATCGCAACTGACCGATGAACCGCAGCTCATCATAATGTTTGATCGCAACCAAACAATGGACCGCAGCCCAAGAGTAGTCATCTGACCGCAGCCAGGAATATGAACCGCAGCTCATGTAAAACGTTTGATCGCAACCAAATGGTGGACCGCAGCTCGAAAGTATAAATCTGACCGAAGCCAGCTTCTGAACTGCAGCTCAGGAATAACCAATTTGATCGCAACCAAATTGGGGTTTCATGCACACATAACACATAGCAAACACATGCAACCCACATTGACACATTGGGAAGGGGGAGAAATCGTATAACGAAACCTATGCGTGATCATCCACATACTAAGAATACTCCTAAGGGGTTCATACTTCTTACACCTAGGCCAACGGGATACCAATCCAACTAGCATGCAATATATGACTTATTGAACCTACGAATGGTACCCGAACATCAAACTAGACATAGGCACGATGGACGGGGTCCGTTGGGACACCACGGGGGTCGGGGGAACATCAAACGGGGAAGCCGGGATCCCGAAGTGGGACAATTTCCAGCCGAAGTGGGATCCCGAAGGGTCACCCGCCGGCGACAAGTCTCCGGGCAGCGGTGCCCGGCGGGCAGTCGCCTGCCCGCTGCCGGCGACGTTAAACCTGGCCGCGGGTAGGTGGCGGGTCCCCTACCCCCACCTATCCCCCACTGACTCTTTTTCACAAATAACGTCCCGGGAACCTTTGTGGAACCCGAAACCATGCTTAGACACCTTTAAACGCAATTGATGACAACACGTAGACAATTAACGGATCAAAAGCGAGAAACATGCGGCACCTATCCTATCATGCTTTCTAAACATAATTAACACCCAAACATGCGAATTCCCACCCAATACATTAAGAATAACACCATACAAATTTCACGTTACATCCTAGGGCTCTAATCACAATTAAATCATCAAGAACGTAACCCATCTTTTAATATCAAGAAATATCAAGATTCATCAAGAACATTACACAATCATCAAGAAACCCTTATTATCATCAAGATTATCAAGATAAAACCATATCACCAATTATCAAGATCACATCATCAATATCATAACAATTCGTCAAGACACAAGAATATAGGAGGATGCCTAAGAGGGAGAGATCATAGCTAAGAAAATAGGTTTTGTTGAGACATGGGTTACCTCTTAGCCTTAATTAATTTCCTTGGCTATGAAGGATCTTTCTCTAAGTCTTTCTTCTTTCTTGATTTCTCCTAGGGGAATTCTTGGAGCTCCTTGTGTGGTGAGAGATTATTGTGGTGTGGGTTCTAGGTGCCTCCTATGTCCCCTATTTATATATCTAAGAGTCCTAGTTAGGGCCCAATTACTATAGGCTTGCTAACTCTATTCCTTTTAGGACTAGGGGTTGGATTTTAGGGGTGAGGGCCCACGGACTATGGTGGGCCTTTTCCTAATTAATTATTGTAATTTAATTCTTTCTTTGGATAGTTGGTTAAATGATTAATTGGTTTTAGGGGTCGTAACATGGGGTGTTACACTATCCCCCCCTTACAAGGGGCTTCGTACCTGAAGCCCGGTGTTTTAATCCATTCTTTCACCCCCGGACATCCCATATTTTGGCCTCCTGGTTAGGAACGCGGCCCCACGTTTTGTCTTTGTTGGGGTAGATTGGACTTCTGGTGTCGTGGTGATAGGAAAGTTTGGGTCTACCTTGGTTTCCTGCTCCGGAGCTGGATGCCCTGCGAGTGCCCAAGGTGGCCTCGATTGCTGCCACCCTCTGATCTAATGTGCGTGTCGTGTGGATTAAGGACGAGAACCCTTCTTCCATGATTTGGTTTTGCCGGGTGAGTTGTGCTAGGATACGCTCATTGACCGAGTCTTCGCTTTGTCCCCTTGGGTTTCCTCCCGATCGTGTGTGTGCCGGTGGGTTAGGCTCGTTATCCTCTTCCTGATCCTCACTTCCCTCTAGTCCCCCACAATCTTGCATTGCCCATTTAAGCTTTTTGTTGGAGATGTCCAATCGGTCAACCAACTCTCTATGTTCCTCCTCGGGTTTGAGACAAATTTCCTCGAGGGTGACATACTGTCCTCCCTCGGTGTAGTAGATATCATTGCGACGGAGGTTCTGGGCATTAAAAATCATCCCATTCGCGGTCTTGACCTCTGTGTGGCTCAGATCCACCCCCTTTTTCTCCATGATCCAACTTAGGATCATCCCGTAGGGTAGGCTAAGCCGGTTGCTAGTTTTGCAAAATTCCATGTGTTTCAACATGAGGGCCGGTAGGTTGAACTTGATTTTATGTTTCAAGAGGTAGGCGAAAGTGCACTCTAAACTCCCCACGTCCTTGCTCTTATTATTCGTGGGCAAAAGGCTGTCAGTCACAATCATAACCAATATCTTATGCTCCGCAGTTAGCCACTTCCTATTTGGTCGTGTGGCCGAGGTGAACCCTTCCTCTTTCCCTAGTAGGTACCCGAGGTAGTCTTTGC